GAGAGGAAGATCTTTTGTCCGATGGTTCACTCCCCAAGTGGCTGCATTGGCCGGAGCTGAGCTGATCTGAAACCAGGAACCAGAAGCTTCTGTCAGGTCTTCCACGTGGGTGCAGGGACCCAAAGCTGTGGGCTGTCCTTGACTGCTTTCCCAGGTTACAAGCAGGAAGCTGAATGGGAAGTGGGGCTGCTAGGACACAAACCAGTGCCCATATGGGATCCTGGTGCATGCAAGATGAGGACTTTAGCCATTAGGCTACCACGCCAGGCCCTAAGCTGAGTATCTCTTTTTCAGTCCCTGGTAACACCAGCCCCTTCCAACATCATCACAATGTCAATCAAATTTAAACATGGGGTCAGCATGGTGGTGTAGCAAGCTAATTCTCCACACTATGGTGCCACTATTCCACAGGTACTGGTTCATATCCAGGATGCTCCACTTCCAATCCAGGCAACTCTCTGTTTCTGGCTTGGGAGAACAGCAGAAGGTGGTTCAAGTCCTGGACTCCTGTACCCACATGGGAGAGCCAGAGGAAGCTCCTGGCTCCTGGTTTCAAATTATCTTAGCTGCTGCCTATGGTGGCCATTTAGGGAAATAGCCAGTGGATAAAAAATTTCTCTCTCCCTCTTGCTCTGTCTATATATAAAATCTGTCTCTTAAATGAAAATATCTTTATTTCAACATGAACTTCAAAGGGAAAAAAACATATTCACCACAACAAATATATGCCGATGAGTAATAAAAACATATACCTATGTGAAGGCTTGTACATTTATGTATCATTATTCATAGCAGCCAACAATGGAAATGACCTAAATGCAAACTAATGGGTGAGTAAGCTAATTAAATGTGGCATTATTCATACAGAAGAATATCATCCAGTCATGAAAAGGAATGAAGTATTGATACATGGATAAAGCTTGAAAACGTTATGCTAAGTGTAAGCAGTTGGTCATGGATCACATGTTGTATAGCTCTGTGTATCAGAAATGTCTAGATCAGGAAAAGCTATAAAGTAGTGTAGTGGTTCCCAGGGCCTCGGAGGAGAGAATAGGGAATTCCTGCTAAGAACCATGGGGTTTCTGTAAGGGCTGATAACATTTCTCCAAAATAAGTGTGGGTAGGAGAATCAAGATGGCAGGATAGGGTAAGGACACGTTTAAACAGACAGAAAAACATTAGCCTGTTTGAAGTAGAGAGGGCACATTCCAGGAAATAGAAGAGAGAAAAACAGCAAAGGGGAACCTAGAGACACAGACACAGGAAAGCAGCAGACACTACGGTGTGGTGTTACACTGACCTATATCCCAGCGGCATTCAGCTAGTGACAATCTGAATTCCAAAACTCCACCAGCAACAAGGTGGGAAGGGACATTCACCAGGAGCTCGGGAGGTGAACCCAAAGAACTGCTCATCCTGCTGGTCTGTTTGATTTAACCAGGAGCAGAGACAGAGCAACAGGTCCAGCAGGGGTGGTGTAAGAACAGGATGCATTTCACAGCCCAGTCTGCCCCCTAGAGCCAAATCAGGTGTCATTTTATCCAGAGAGACAAAAGCTAAGGGACAAGACTACACACGCACTGAGCTGGGGGTGAACTCATTTCTGGCTCAATGAACTGCAACAACGTGGTATCCTACAGGATCCACCCAAGACAGGTCCGGGTAGCCCTCAGACCTGATAGCCAGCAGATCAAGAACTCCACCAGTGGCACATCAGGTGCAATTTTGTACGGTGTGGCAAAGGCTTTACGACTCCAAGGACGACAGTAAACTGCGCAAGAGCTGAGCTGGGAGTGAACTCACTGAGCTCAGTGCATTGCACTGATCCCACAGGGAAACCAGTACTGAGATTGGCATCCTGCAGGTCAAAACAGGTCCATGTGGCCCTCAGACCTAACAGCCAACAGGTTCCTGCAAGATTAGCACCACCAACAACCTAGTTATATAGGACACCTGGTATATCCCTAATCCTGAAACCTGCTCCAACCACTAGTGGGAGAAAGGTTGTACAGACAACGGTGCAGCCTCAGCATGGGATCACAGGAGGTGGAGAATGGTGAGCCAGGAGCTGGGGCTACGGAGACCATAGTGGAAATCTAACATAAGAACCCAGACCTGGAAAAGGTTGGAAGGAGTGGCACAAGTGACTGCAAACAAAGAGCCATGTACCAACCACAATAAATAAAATTGAACTGTAGACCTGTGGGTGACACAGCTTAGAAATCAGCCCCCTGGAGAAGAATCTAATAACCAGAAGTACAATGGCCAAGAGCAAAAAAAGAGACAAAGGCACAATGAATATTACTGAAAACTCCCCTGCAAAGGAGCAAAAGCCTTTGCCAATCTCAGAGTTAACTGAGGAACACATTGAGAAAATGGGGGACACAGAATTCAAAACACTTGATATAAAGCTTCTTATCAACAAGAAGAAGCACATAAAGCAGGAGTTCAAGGTATTTCTGGGATCGGGCCTGGCTGGGGAATAAGGGAATGTACTTGTTGGGGTCCGTGCAGTGGATGTGGGGGACATGAAGGTGTGAAGAGTATTGTTCCATTGCAGGCAGTATGTATGGCAGTCCTGTATGGCAGGACCTGGTGGATGTCTCTACAGGCACCTGAATGCAGCTCCACCTTCCTTTGCATGGACACCGGACTACCCTGCAGGAGAATTCTAATCTATTCAGGCATTCATTGTTTGCTACTGTGGAGTTGGCTTTTTTATTCAATGTGAGCTTGGAGGTTAATGTCACTAGACTGCTGGAAGCTTCCTTTACCCAGGCCCAGATGTCAAACTCAAAATAAACAATTTTTTAAGTATTTCATAGTATATGGGATCTCCAAGTAACGGACAGATACAGCAGCCACCCCCCACCAGCAGCGTTCCTTCACAGGAGCAATATCTACACGGAGGCCAGGCAAGAGGGCTCCTAAACTGAAACTCACTCAGTCATCCATGTTCTAGAAATCTCAACAGAAGTCCCTTCCCTCTCCCAAAACCACCCACAAAAGGAGTGCTTTTCCTACAAAAGAGGCTGCAGCTCCACTCCTAAATTCAATCATTAGACCTAAAGTTATGACCCTGGACAAAGACTCCAGCTTTCATTAGAATAGTGGTCTGTTTTCCTATTTTGACCATATTTTATACCAATGTAAATGTGTGTATACATTCAGAAACCCCAGCACAAGTCCTCTTCCAAATACGTGCTGCCAAAGAGAAGACCTGCTCTTGCTCTGCTGAGTCCAACTGGAGAAGCAACCCTATCAAAGGGACCCCAGAGACGACCACGCCACCTCCCCTGGCCCCTGGGAGAGAGGATTCCGACACACCAGAGTCCAACAGCATTGCCCAGAGCTCTCCAGGAAACTGGAGAACAGCTCAACCCCAGGGCAAACTTTAAATGGAAACATCTAGAACTGAAAGAGATGGAAGCAGATGCACCTGGGCACTCAAGACCAAGGGCTCTACCCTCTGCCTTCCCCTTCTTGGTTAGCCATTACACGCAGCTGACGGGGTCAAAGCCAGAGTGCACGTTAACAGGGAGCCATCCTGAAAGGGAGTATGATATACTCCCTCCCCCTGCCTGCCGCCAAGAAAACAAAAACAGAAATACCTTCAGAACAGAACTCCCGTTACAGTTCAACAATACTAGCTCTTGGTATGTGTGCCCAAAACAACTGGAAAGAGGGACTCACAGGAATGAATACTTGTGTACTCAGGAACTTGTGGCCTCAAGAGGATCCTGAGAGAAAGAGAGAGAGAAGAAAAGGAATCATTGTAAGCCAGCAAAGTTGGAAACATGAAAGTTGCTACAGAAAGTGACCAAGATGAAGCTCTTCCATCCACAGAGCAGTCCCCCCTGCTTTCGGGGTCCACATTTACAGGCTCCAAAACATGGATGTTAATATCTGGCAAAGGGGCAGTGACTTCCCAGCCACTTTGCTCTCCTTGGGTTTCACAGCAATTGTAAACTGCCATGGCTGTGAGGGAGTTCGTTTGGCTAGGCTAATCATCACAATGACAGGACAAGCATGGCTAATTTGGCTAATTTAAATCCATCTGGGCTTGCCGCATACTCTCCCAAGAGTGATATGCACGACAGCCACCAGGGGGAAGCAACCCCAGGGCGCAAGGATGGGTTTAAGGCGTGAACGCACCACATGCTGTAGACACTTAGTAGAATGTCATTCAAGGGTTGAGGCGTGTACTGCATGCAACACGCATCACCTCTGAAAATGTCACGTTAAGTAAAACACGTAAGACGCGCGTCGGAGGCTGTGTGACTCCACTTACATGAAGTGGCTAAAACTGTCCAACTCGTGGAGAGAAGCGGAACGGGGTTCCCAGAGGCTGTGGGGAATGAGGAGAGCTGGAGGGTGATTCTGGCCTCCACATCTTCAGTTTAGAAGACAAAGTTTTACCAGGCTAAGAGATGGATGCACAACAATGAAAATGCACGGTACGCATTTTAAGGTAACAAAAGTAGTTAAAACGGGAACATATGTCTATTTTGCCACAACGACAATTTATAAGGGAGCCGAGTTTTAGATTCATCATCCCGCTTAGCCAGTAAACATGGCCCATTTTTGCTTTATTCTTAGTTTTCCTCTGAACCTGACGGTCCTGGAGAAGGGGCTCGGGTGGTGGCCCCGGGACCCCCGGAGGTCGGCCGGGTCCTTCTGCTCAGGGACTCCCTGGGCCCCGGGCGGCGCAGCTCAGCGGGCTGACTGAACCTCTAGCGCGTCCCCGAAGCCTCCGAGGCGGGGCCTGCGCTGTACGGTGCCGGCGTGCGTGCACGCTCTTCCAATCAACGAACCCCAGGGGAGGGCTTCGCGAGCCAGAGCCAACCGCAAAGCGCCTGGCTCCTGTGGTCCCACCCTCGCATTCCTTCGACTGGTGCGTTTTCAAACACGCGGGAACCAATGAGGGCGCGAGGGCGCGCGGCGCGACGGCCTAGTCGGCCTGGCGCGGCGTTTGAAGAGAAACTGTCAAAGGAGTCAAGATGGGGCCTGGGCGCGGCGCCTCCTCGGCTGCGGCAGGTGAGTAGCACGGCGGACTCCGCCGCCCATGGCTCTCGTGTGGGGAAGTGGGGAGGCCACCGAGTGAGCTCTGCGCCGGCCAGAGGAGACGCCGGGGTCGGAGCCGGGGATGGGGGCGGCCGGGCGCAGGGCCAGAGGCCTCCGGGCTCCTTCCCCGCCGTCCTGCAAAACGATGTCGTTGTCACCAGTGGGAAGCGGTGGGCCCCCCTCGCCCCAGATCTGACACCAGGCAGAAGCGGGTGTGGTCCTGTGTGCCTCTTGGAGTGAGGTCCAACTGGAGCCCAGATCCAGTTGCGGATTGGAAGTTGTGGATTGATTAAATCTGCCCCCCTGAGAACCGAGGATCTACCTTCTGACCTCTGACCCGTCTCCACCCCCTTGATTTACTGCTGCTCAGACTCCGCCCACACCAAGATGCGCACTGGTGTTTATAGTCTGTTGCACCTGCTGAATCTAACTAGCTCTTGCACGCTTTGGACATCACGCACAAAGATGGACATTTCGGTCCCAGTCTTCTAGACCCTCAGCTGCAGGGCTTGCAGACTTGGTAGAAGGCACAGAAATGGGGCCTCGCCTCAAGTGTCAGACTCCACAGTCCCTGTGCTGTATACTGCTGACTGCCAGATACTGTATTATTCATGCTGTCCTATAAAAACACATCAGAGCCGGCAAAACAGGGCCCCTCAACCCAGTTAAGGTTATTGTAGTTTTTGTGTCCACTGGAGTCTGTTTTTTTAATTGTGACTCAGTTTTTGCCTTTTCCCATCACCTGCTTCTTCGACCATTTCCCACCTCTGAGTTCCATGATTCTCTCTCTGAATCCAGTTTTATGGTACCTAGATGTTTTCCTTGTATTGTAATTTGTTATTTTCATCTCCATGACCAGATTGAAACATTTTGAAGGCAGAAATACAGGTTAACTATCCTTTTTTTTTTGACATGTTTATTTGCATGGATATAATAGCATATCTTAAGCCAAAGCATAGAATTCATATATGCCTGCAGCCTAAAGGGAATTTAACAGTATTTTTAGTGCACCTGTCCCCTGAAGTCAAGCAAGGAATTTTCTACTTGTGTTCACAGAGTTTTGAATGTTGAAGCATTTTAGATTTACAGCCATGGGATTCTCAACCAGTACTGACTTTGCATCTCCTCACAAATGCCTTGCCCAGAAAGTCGCCATACGGATGTTTGCTATGAAACCCTCTACTGGCCTATATTTTCTTTAGCCCTAAAGCAAACTTATCCCCTATCAGAAAAAATAAGCAAACAAATAAAAAAGAGTAAGCCTAACTCACCAGTTCAGGTGAACCAGTAACAATGTTTTCATGCAAAGTACTTTATGTTGTACCTGAGAATGACTCTGAAGCTAAGTACACATGTTTCCAAATCCTGGCCTTGCCACATATTAGCTGGGTAATTTCAGGCGTGTGCTTTGCCATCTCAGAATTTCCATTGTTGTATGGGTTAAAAAGAAGCAATTGTAAGGACCAGAGTTTTGGCACAGCAGGCAAAGCCACCATCTGCAACACCAGCATCCTGTATGGATGTCAGTTCATGTCCTGGCTGGCTCTGCTTCAGTTCCAGCTCTCTGCTAATGGCCTAGGAAAAACAGCAGAAAATGGCCCAAGTGCCTGGGCCCCTGCCATCCACATGGGAGACCCAGAGAAAAGCTCCTGGCTTCTGGATTAGGCCTGGGCAGTGCTTGCTATGGCAGCCATTGGGGTAGTGAAGCAGCTGGAAGAGGGTGTCTCTGTATTTCTCCTTCTCTTTTTTTTTTTTTTTTTTTATTGGAAAGGCGGATATACAGAGAGGAGGATCTTCCGTCCAATGATTCACTCCCCAAGTGAGCGCAACGGGCCGATACTATGCCGATCCAAAGCCAGGAGCCTCTTCCGGGTCTCCCACGCGGGTGCAGGGTCCCAAAGCTTTGGGCCGTCCTCGACTGCTTTCCCAGGCCACAGGCAGGGAGCTGGAAGGGAAGCGGGGCTGCCGGGATTAGAACCGGCGCCCATATGGGATCCCGGGCGTGCGAGGCGAGGACCTTTAACCACTTGCGCCACCGCGCCGGGCCCGTCTCCTTCTCTTTCAAAATAAATAAATCTTCAAAAAAAAAAAAAAAGTAAAGGTAATGATCTTCATATAGGGCCTGGCATATGAATGATAATGCTGATGTTGTTATTAAGCTGATGGCAAAGTGTATGACTAAAGCCTAAAATGTCTGCACAAAGCTGGAATCACTACAGAAATGTATTGTCTTTGACCGTATAAATGAGCTGGTTAAAAGCTCAGACAAAATTTCTCCTGTATGTTTGCTCCACCTGTTTTCCAGAAGAGCGGCAGAGAAAGCTCCAGGAGTACCTAGCAGCCAAGGGAAAACTGAAGCCCGAGAACACCAAGTAAGTCTGTCCACACACGGCTCCTCCAGCTGTGTCGCCCTGGTTGCAAACAGCAGCTCACAGCTTTTTCCAAACCTTGCCTTTTCAACCACTTGAGGATCCTCTGATCAAAAGAGCATTTCAGTCCAAGCACCTCCCAGTCACCGGGGCAGTGCCCAGGCAGTTGACAGAGGTTGAAGTGTAATTGTTCCAAACACCTCCAGAGGAAGCAGGGAAACATCAACAGTGTTACCATGGTTCATCTGTTCTCTCTGTTCTTTCTCCTGAGGGCAGCTCTTAGGGGGTTGAAGACCCTGATCCTGGTGCTTTTCACTGACGCAGGAGAGCCAGTTGCCATCAGTCCCCCACACTGGCACTGGCCTTCCCTGGCATGCTGGCACCCTTTGCTCTTGTTTGTTCTTGGGATAAGCAGAACCACCACCACCTCACCTTTACCTTCTTCCAGCATCTCACCTTCAGGATTGGGTAGGACGGGAGGATAGAGAAGTTGTTTATTTATTATTCTTGCTTAGCATCAATGTGTTTGCCTCTCACTTTAGTAGCTACATTTTTATTTAAACATTTGTTTTTATTTACAAAAGTTCGGTTTTCCCTTTAGTTTACCTTGGATTTTACTCAACTTTATTCCTTTGATTAAACAAACTTGAATTCATCAACAAATGACTTATTTAGTGTCTGGAATATACCAATCACTCTGATTCTGATGCGCTCCATAAGCTTCCTGTCTCAAACAAGTCATGATCAATATCCCTGTTGGTCTAGCTATCATTTTTGGTGCATGGAAGCTTCATCCTAGGTTCTTCCCTTTCTCATATGCTTTTTGGTTTACCTGTTTGTTTTTGACATTTTTATCTCATATATATTCCTAGTATTTAATTATGTCATGTTCTCTCTGAAAATCCACTGTCTTAAGATGTTTTAAACAAGGAAGTTTTATAAAGAAGGAGTTAATTGTATTAATCAGCTTGGTGTTACCACAACACAAAGTTTGAGGCAACAAGCTTGTAAAGAGAAAAGGTGTGTTTAGCCCCAAGTTTTGAAGCGTCACAGTTCACGCTGCACAGGGAAGGCTTTGGCTGTGGGGAGGGGCCTGTGGCAGATGGTGGAGCGCATCAGAGAAAGGATCACAGAGTAGCTCAGAAACAGAGGGAGGCTGAGCCCAGACTCAGGCTTTAATACCTCTCATAAGAATTCAAGGGGTCACACGACAGCTACCTGTCACCACTATCTGTCACATTGCAGTGTTAAAAGGATAATTTTGAAAAAAATAAGACTGCAAATATGAAAAAAATCCACATATATCTAATTGATATTGTTAGAATGCTACAATACAATTTGTGCATAGGATATATCTCTGAAAAGATAACATGCACAATAACTGGGGAAGGCATGTTACCCAGCAATTAAGACACTGCTTGAGACCTCCACATCCCATGCTGGAATGCCTGCTTCAAGGCTCAATTCTTCATTTCCAATCCAGCTTCCTGCTAAAACACACCTAGAGAGGTAGACAATGGTGGCTTAAGTGCTTAGATCCCTGCCACCCACATTGGAGACCCAGAGGGAGATCCAGTCTCCCGGCTTCGTTCAGGCTGGTCTAGCTCTGGTTGTTGGCAGATACCTAGGGAGTGAACCAATGCATAGAGGATCCCATGCACTTTGTTTCTCTCTGTCTCTTAGATAAAATGAAAATAAATGTTTTAAATGATTTTTTAAAAATGGGCAAAAGCAATTTTGAATCTCTTAGAAGAATACAGGACTAGGGAAGCTTGGATAAGGAGACTTTTTATTGAACATAAGTTTGATTTGTTTTACCCTATATATAAATTCTAATGATTTAATTTTATACTCCTAGTTTTTAATCACTGTACTTTGTAAACCAGCTAATATGTCTATTCTAAGGATTAACTTTATTTTCTCTTTTTTAGGCCTTACCTAAAAGCCAAGAATAATATCCCAAATCCACCAGCTTCCAAATCAGTAAGTAGAGATTGGTCTTTTAAGAAATATCATGATGGGAGGGGACCAGGTGAGCTCGACCTCAGGGCTTGGGTGAATAGACCTCCTGGCAGCATGGCAGCTGCTGGGAAGACACAGGCCAGATCAGGCTCAATGCTTGGGGCATGAGCCACAACAACTGCTGCCAATTAGTGGGTGAATCTTGAGCTTGGACTTTGCCAGCCAGCCTCCCAGCAGCAAACTCTAAGATTTTTGGGGGGTGTGGAATTATTGCCTATGGACATTCATGGATGAGACCACCTTATATGTAGGTAAGGAATGAATCCTGAGGGACTCCTAATGACATGGCCACTGTACTTGCAGGTAAGTTAGGGGGCTGAGACCTGGTAGTTGGGAGGGGAGAGGCCAGAAGATCTGTGTGGATCAAACTGATCCACCTGCCCACATGAGAGTCCTGAGTTGGGCTTGTTAGCGTGGAACATTGCCGACTACCACATGCCAGTCCAAGAGAAAACTAAGGCTGGGAGCCTGTCTATCAGGGCTAAATCCCAGTCCTGACTGAGTGTCAAAACAGGGGAGGGGTCACATTAGGCAGGGTCATGACACTAACCAGCATGCGAGAGAACCAGGTCCAGGGATAGATTCTGTGGGGGATGTGTGGGCCCAACCCTGTGGAAATACAAGTCCCACTGGTTAGCTCAAGAGTTGGCGTGTGAAGCACTGAGCTAGGTTTGATCTTGGAACCTGCCAATACTCATAGGTACAGGGACCAATAACAGTCTGAGCAGGTCCAGACTGCAGCACTTGCATGTGCATCCCAAAACACGGTGTGGGGTGGGCCAGGTCACAACATTCACCAACTCATACAAGGCCAAGAGGGAGGGGCAGGCCATGCCAGGCAAGAGCCTAGTACCTGCTGTCATGCATGAGATCTGGGTCTGGGAGTGGGGCCAAGTGGGGGACCTTGGGATACTCCCCTAGTGGGTCATAGCTCCTGTTGGTGAGCATGTGATCCAGGCCTGGGAGTTGGGCAGGCTGGGCAAGGTAGCTCCAACTGTTGGCTAATGTGTGGGTTGGTTTTGGAAGGGGGCGGACCTGGCAGGGCCGAGCAAACCTTAGCTCACCAGCAAGAACAGAAATCAGGCTACAGTGCAGATCATGCTGTAGTAGGCTGTCACTTACCGGTTTGCATGAACTAGGGATGGAAGCAGACTGATCAGGGCAAGGTTCCAAAATCCACCAGCAACAGTTGGGACTGATGTCAGACCGGATCAGGCAAGGCTCTAGTATCTGAAGGCAAAGGCCAAGACAGGTGAGGGGCTATGCCAAGCTGTGTCAGAACAACCACTGGCACATGCAAAATGTATATCTGGGACAGGCCTAGTTGGGGAATAAGGGAATGCCCCAGCTGGGTTGTGGTCCCCACTGGTGAGTGCAAGGGCCAGAGTTGGGGCTGCTATCTGGTCTGGACCTGGTTGCAGTGTCCTTCGGCACAAGTGTGGACTGGGTCTGGGATGTGTCAGACTGAAATAGGTTCCAGCGCCAACTGGTGCTCTGGAGAACCAGTGTAAATGTAGGATGGGTTAGGCTAGGTCTCTGTCCCTACTGAGGCATGTGTGGTCTGTGTCTAGAGTATGGACTAGGCTTGGCTGGGCTTGAACACCCAACAGGGAAAACTAGAATGGGTGAAGTCTAGTCAAGAAAGGCCACTGTTCCTGCCAGGATAGGAGGTGGGCTAAGTAGGGGTGACACATGGGCTCACCAATGGATGTGAGATCTAGACTTGGGAGAGGTTCTCCTCTGTTGGGACACAATCCCTACAGGTGAGTGCAAGAACTAAGAAGGGAGCAGCCCAGACCAGGCTAGGGAATGGTACCCACCAGCATACTTTTGGCACAGGTCAGGTGCAAAACAGGCTAAATGAGTTCACATCACCTGCTGGGGAATTCGAGCACCAGAACGAAGTGTGGGTCAGGCTGGGTTCAGTTGCAACACGTACCAGAACACATTACAGCTGGGACTGTGTGCTGGCTGGGCTGACTAGGCTGTAACCCCCACCAGTGGGAGCTGGAATTGGGAGCAGGCCGGGTTGGGCCAAACTATAGCACCCACTGGCAAATGCCAAGATGAAGTGGGCCATGCCAGACTGGGCCACAGCCCCCAACCAGCACACATGAGAACCAAGAGGAGAGGAGCAAAGCTGATGGGGGAATATGGAGGGCTCCCCTGCTGGACCACCACTCCCACTGAAGAGCCTGAGTTGGGATGGAAGCAGACCAGGCCAGGCAGGGCTATAACACCTATGGGCCTCATGTGAGGTGAATCAGGGGAAAGCCAGGATAGGCTGACTGTTCCTTCTGGTACAAGCATAAATCAGAGTGGGTGAGGGTTGGTTGGGCTTTGCTGCAGCATCAGCTTGCAGATGCTGGCACCGGGGGCAAATTCTGTCAAGTTAAACTGCAAAACTATCTGGAGAATGAATGATTTAGGAGTGGAATTGGTCCCATTAGTGAAACAATGGGCACCTCCCTCCTAGGTTGCCATTCCAACTGGTGAGCATGAGAACCGGGACTAAAGCAGGCATAACTAGACAGAAAGTATCACCCAGTGGCACACGTGTGGGCTGGATAATGGGGCTGGTTGGGTTAGACTGGGCTTCAGTGGCCACTGACATGTATGAGAGCTGGATGGCATGTGGGACAGAGTGGACAAGTCCGCTATACATACTGGCAAGCATGAGTACAAGGGCAGGTGGTGGACCTGGTGGGGGTTATTGCAAGTCGCTCGGACTAGGCTGCAGCTCCCACTGGTGTCCATGAAGGCTTAGTGTGTCGTGGGCAGGATCAGACTGGACTGCAACACCCATTGATTTGTGTAAAAGGCAGGGCTGGAACCAGATTAGTCTGGTTAGGCTGGTCAAAAGTGAAGACATGAAAAACGTACAAGAGAGAAAATATAATAATTCATGTTCTTGGTAACGATCTGATGTCCAGGATACATATAAAAACTTATAATGCAGTTATTGAACGACAGATGACCTAATTTAAAAATGGACATTATTTCTGCAATGATAAACTAATGCCAATCAAGGCATGAAAAAGTACTTAACATGATTAAATATCAGTGAAATGCAAATCAGAACCATAATATGAAGGATAAGCACTTAACCTCATGATTAGGACAGAGTCTGGGATGCCCACACCCCATATCAGAAAGCCTGAGTTTGTGTCCCAGCACCACTCCTCGTTCTACCTCCCCACTTAGGTTTTCACCCTGGGAGACAACAAGTGATGGCTCAAGTAACTGAGTTCCTGCCAGACCTGCTGGAAACCCGGTTTTAGCTCCTAACTTCGAGGCTCAACATTGCCAGACCCCTGCTGAAGACATTACTCTGAAGTCTTGACCACATTCTTGCTGAGTGGTGCTTTTCACTGTGTATCTACCAGAATTCACAGTAACTTGTCCAGTTATATACCATTTCAATCCTAACTACTCTTCCCCTACACCTAGTTTTCAAAGTTATAACCCAGTCCCACTTTCCTTAATTTTTAGCTGTACAAAATACTAGAGGGACCATAATATAAATTCCTTATGTGTGTACATTTCCAGGATCACTAGGAGGACACTTGATTGGGACATTGTGGGCATTCAGCAAATACGATTTAGACAAATACATTTTTGAAATAGCAATTTTTGTATATTTACTGCATCTCAATTTGTCAAGCTAAGGGATTCTACTGTATTTGTGATCAGAACTCAAGTTGCAGAAACACCTGGCAGTGTTCCTTTACTAAGTTATTTTTATCATTATTTTTAAAACAACTGTTATGATATTTTTCATAATTTCTTTCTTTGTCTTTTTAGGCTGTTAGACCGGGAAAGAATGTTACCAGCCACGTTGCTTTGCCTGTGAAAACCTCAAAGCCCATCAGCATTAAAGTACAACCCAGACCAGACAATATCACAAGATCTCAGAAGCCAAAGTTGGAGCCACCCAAACAACCGGGCAAAAGACCAATATCAGGATGTATTTCTTCCAACCCAACCTGTAAGCCTTCCAGCAAGAATCAGCAGCAACATGAAGCTAGACCATTTACTACAGGAAAGCTAACTAGAAAACCGGAGGGATCCCTTAATATACAGCAATTAGAAACTACAGAGCAACCAGTTACAGATCAAGGGCATGCTAAATGTGCAGACTCCACAGACAACACCCATGTTGAGCAGGAGTCTTCAGATAACTTTTTGAAGGAGAGGAACAAAGAGAACTTACCACAAACTTTACCAGAATCTCAGAGAAAGCCAGCTCCTGAGTTATGTATTGTAAGTAAGGCAAAAACTGGCTTGTATAATCAACCCAAGAGCAGTTATGCTCATAGAAAGGCCTTGAGCTCCAGTTCAGTGACTCGCACTGTTCTGAAAGACAGAGCTAACAAACAGTTTGGAGGGACACAAACCAAGATTATTCCAGTGAAGTCACAGCAGCTCCCCAGGGGAGATCTTGTAAGGCCAGGAGGAAAATTCCCAAGGACAATTCCCTCTCACTCTGTAGCAATCCAAGCATCCGGGAAGCCAGAGGTCAAGGATACCAAAGTTTACAGGAGTAACCCTGAAAGACCAACTAAAGCTAAGTTACAATCATGCTGTGTTACTGAACAGAAAGCAAAACCTATGAAACCCAGAACATACCCCAGTTTGGTTCAGGGAGGACTTAACAACAGACATCCAAACATCAAACAAGATCAGACATCCACACAATCTGGTATTAGACCGCAGACATCATGTATACTGCCAAAAACAAAAACCGTCAACCAGAAGCCTGGTCTGACCATTCGCAGCTTAAGTTCGATTGTTCCAAGCACCCCCAGCTTGAGAGCAAATAGAGCCAACAGCAACAGCGTTCAACAGAAAGCACAGACTTTGGACTCCAAGTTGAAAAGGACTCTTCCCCTCAATGCTTTCCTGAGCAAGACAGCTCCCAAACCTCCCACCGCGATCACAACCGCAAATAGGAACAGAGATGGAACTGGGGCCCAGACCAACCCCAATATTAAAATGAAGACGACAGCAGAGGATCGAAGGTACTTTTCTTTAAATCCAAAATTTTGCAGCTTAAGGTGATAATACAAATTGACCATTGAAAAAGACTTACTTGGTCAGGAAACAAGCCATAATGTCTCTTAAGTAATTGTTAACTGTGGCCTGACAAAAAGATTTGAAGCAAATTTAACAAATATTTTAAGACTTGGCAGAGCCAGGTATATATTTATATATCATAAATCATTCTCTTTTCCTTCATGTATATTTGAGATTATTTTTTTAAAGGAAAATGAAATAGAGAATGGTTGAATTTAGAGTTGTAAATGTAGCCTGGCCATTCAAGAAGTACCTGTAGGGACTGAGCAGCAAGAAGTTACAGTCATACTCTGTTACTGAAGCATGTCAAACCCAGGAACTACCCCAGTCTTGTTCAGGGAGAATTTAATAACAGACATCTAAGCATAAGTATCATGTGAGATCAGAACTGGGCCACTTAGAAGGAATCAGAGTAGTGAGTTCACATGGCTAGGAAGTGGGAGATGATAGTCCCTTGTCAAGCAGACATGTCAAGCCCAAAAAGTTGGGTTTTTTTTTAAGATTTATTTTTATTTATTGGAAAGGCGGATATACAGAGAGGAGAGACAGAGAGGAAGATCTTCCGTCTGATGATTCACTCCCCAAGTGAGCACAACGGCCGATGCTATGCCGATCCAAAGCCAGGAGCCTCTTCCGGGTCTCCCACGCGGGTGCAGGGTCCCAAAGCTTTGGGTCGTCCTCGACTGCTTTCCCGGGCCACAGGCAGGGAGCTGGAAGGGAAGCAGGCTGCCGGGGATAGAACCGGCGCCCATATGGGATCCCGGGTGTGCAAGGCGAGGACCTTAACCACTGCACCACCACGTCAGGCCCAAGTTTTTTTTTTTTTAAGAACTATTTATTTATATGAAAATCCACATTACAGAGACAAAGGGGGTGAAAGATTTCAAATATTGGTTCACTCCCCAGTTGGCCACAATGGCCAGGGCTGGGCCAAGCTGAACCCAGGATCCTCCTCCAAGTCCCTCACATGAATGGCAGGACCAAGCCTTCCTCCTCTGCTTTTCCCAGGCTGTTAGTAAAGAGCTGGATAGGAAGTGGGAGAGCCAGGACTCAAATCAGCATCCGAAGCAGTGGCTCAACCCACCATACCACAACACTAATCTCCAACCCAGAGGAAGAAGAAACAGGAAGTTTTTATCAGTCTGGGTGGGCCAAGGTGGTTTTTTTGGTTCTTTTTTTTGGGGGGGGGGTTGCCTTTTTTGTTTCTTATCTGAAAGTTAGAATTACAGAGAGAGAGGGAGAGGCAGATTGAGAGGGGTTCTCCATCCACTGGTTCACTCCCCAGCGCCAACTGGGGCTGAGCCATGCACAAGCCAGGAGCTTTCTTCCAGGTCTCCCATACAGGTTCAGGAACCCAAGCATTTAAGCCATCCTCTACTGCTTTCCCAAGTGCAGTAGCAGGGAACTAGTGAAGAAGTGGAACAACCAGCTCTTGAATTGGTTGGTACCCATTTGAGATGCCAGCATTGTAAGCAGCTGCTAAAGCAACTATGTCATAGTCTCGGTCCATGGGCCAAGTTTTGGAAAACGAGTTAAAGCAGAGAGGAACAACAGTAAGTGCAGATCTCAGAGAAATTGGGATCTCGGCTTGCCAGAGGTTAATAGTAACAAATAGCACAATGGTTCAGTGACTAAATCTTCACCTAGGATGCCCCAGGATCCTGTATGCACACCAATTAAAGTCCCAGCTGCTCCAGTTCCCTGCTTGTGGCCTGGGAAGGCAGTCGAGGATGGGCCAGAGCCTTGGACCCTACACCCACCTGGGAGACCCAGAAGAGGCTTCAGTTCAGCTTAGCTCCAGCCATTGGAGTCACTTGCGGAGTGAACCAGCAGATGGAAGATCTTCCTCTCTGTCTCTTCTTATCTCTGTAAATCTACCTTTCCAATAAATATTAAAAAGTTAAGAAAAAAAAAAAAAAAAAAAACGATGCCAGAAATGGAGTCAGTGGATTTTGATAAGGCAAAAAAAAAAAAAAAAAAAGATGGGTTAGAGCTAAGAGGTATAACAAAATCCTAACCACCACTGATGAGTGTTTTGCCTCACTGAAGGGACAAAAAAAACTTAATTCAGAATGATATAATCGAGAACATAGGTTCTGGTGACCTCTTTAGGTAGAAGGATTGGAAGAGACACTTTATTTTTTTTTTAATTAAATTTTTTATTGGAAAGTCAGATATACAGAGAGGAGGAGAGACAGAGAGGAAGATCTTCTGTCCGATGATTCACTCCCCAAGTGACCGCAACAGCTGACGCTATGCCGATCCGAAGCCAGGATCCAGGAACTTCTTCCGGGTCTCCCACGCGGGTGCAGGGTCCCAAGGCTTTGGGCCATCCTCAACTGCCTTCCCAGGCCACAAGCAGGGAGCTGGATGGGAAGTGGAGCTGCCAGGATTAGAACCGGTGCCCATATGGGATCCTGGCGCGTTCAAGGCAAGGACTTTGGCCGCTAGGCCATGCCACTTGGCCCAGAAGAGACACTTTAAATGGTAACATGTGAGCTAGGATGTGTAAGGTTGGTGACAATAAGAAGGAAGAAGCAAAGTGAACCTAAAGACCCCAAGCTGATGGAGAGAAGTCAGTCCCTGTCTCAGGACTGAGTCTGCATCAGACAGCAGAGGCTCGGTCAGTAAGACAGTGAGCTGCATGTTGAACTTGCTTGATTGCAAGGGACAGGGCCGTCTAATCCCCTAAGGGTTCCCTCAGAACGTGCAGTGTGCCCAGCATTAGGAGGTACAGGGTAAGCACACAGTGCCTACCATTATGGAGCTCAGTGTTGGGCTTTGAGGCTTCAGGAAGAAGTTGGGTTCATACCAGCAAAACTTCCTGCCCTGCTGATATCTGAGATCCTCTCACCATTTAAATAAACTTGAAAAAGAAAGGGAAAGGAACATCTGTTCTTATTAGGAGTGCTGAGGAGACAGACAGCAAGCCAGAAATGTGGAGGAAATGCATCTCAGATAGCTCACCTTTGGCATGAAGTGGATGGACAGTTTGAGGATGAGGCACTGGACCGCCTGCGCTTCTGCCTTCACATTGCTGGCCTTCCGGTGGAGGAGATAAAATTGACACACTGATTAAACCAGGTAGTGACTCCTCAGGGACTTGGGATTTGAGCAGAGGACTTGGGATACATGACCTGGAGACAGAAACAAACTTGGGTCCAGAAGCTGAAAGTCTGCCTGGAATCCTGGCAGGTGGTAAGTGAGGAGAGTGGTCACCACGTAGGCTGGACAAGGTCAGCAGGAGCCAAATTACACTGCAGCTTTCAGCCATGAAAGGCATTTTGAATCATATGGAAGTCCTTGACTGATTCTGTCTGGTTCCCAAGTTCGAGACACACTTCTGCACAGAGTGAACTTGATCCAAGCAGAAGCAGAGAATCAAGAGTGTAGAACATGAATAGTAGAGGAGGAACATAAAGTGAAACTAGAACTGTCAGAGATCAGCTACCTAAGAACCCTGCAATTACTGACCTAGCTTTGGAAAGAAATGGAATCCTGTGTGGTCAGGAGCAGGCTCCAAAGTTGAAGAAGTGTGTCCCTTTGAATACCGACACTACTGAGGGCAAAATGCAGATTTTGCTCAAGATGACAGAACGCTGTGGTGGGAGAAATGGAATGCTGATTTAGTAATTTTGAAGATGGAGGATTTTTCTTAGGGAAGCAAATGTTAAAGGTAGCATTTTAGAAAACTAAATTTAGGGAAGAATGCAGAGTCATCACCAGGTCAAGGTAGTTGAAGACTGAACTGCTGGCCACCTGCAGTCCTGGTAACCCAACATCTCCCTCTGCTGGCTGGGAGCCACCCAGGGCCGCCCTTACTTATTTATACATTTTTTGTTTATTCTGTCCTGCTAACTTTGAATGTAGCTGATGGCATTTAGTTGTACTCAGTCTGTGTTCATTATGTATTTTAGAAACTTGACCATGTTAAAAGAAAACAAAAAAACACTGACACCACCACCTTCTCCCCTTTTGTTGTATAACAGAAAACAACTGGAAGAATGGCAGAAGTCCAAGGGAAAGGTCTATAAGCGACCTCCTATGGAAATCAAAGCAAAAAGAAAAGTAATAGAGGAAATGAACATTTCTTTCTGGAAGAGCATTGAAAAAGAAGAGGAAGAAAAGAAAGCTCAACTGGAGCTGTCTAGTAAGATTAACAAAACTCTGACGGAATGCCTGCAGCTCATTGAAGAGGTGAGTGAGAGGAGTCGGCTCGCAGAGCTCGGGCTAGTCTTCAAGTTGTTGGACATGTTTCTTAGGGACAGTAGAGGGAACATAGCCTACACACCTAAGTGAGATTTGACCAATCTTTTTGATACAAACCAGTAATATTAATTCAGAAATAATGGCATGCATGGCTCCAGAATATAGCTCTTGTGTGCAGGTGATTATAGAAGTCTCGCATAATCCTCACTACTCTTACTTTGTCCACTTTATGAATGAAACAGCTCAGGTAGTCTGGCTCCAGAGGGATCCGAAAGGAACCTTGCCTTCTTGAGCTGTCAAGGTCCAAAGAGTAATAAACGCTTACTATCCATTTCTGAAACTTAAATCAAAAGGCAAGATCACATGTGAGATTGGAACATCTTAAATATTCTGGGTAGCTAGAAAGAGTTTCTAAATGTTGTCTTGGATTTTAAAGATAAGGGTAGAGTAGTTGGTAAGGATGCAATCCTTCCCCCTTTTTAAGATGTGTTTATTTGAAATCCAGAATTAACAGAGAGAAAGGAGGGTTTTCTAACTATTGATTCACTCCCCAAATGACCATCATAGCCAGGGCTGGGCCAGACCAGAGCCAGGCAGGAGCTTCGTCTGGGCTTCCATGTCCAAACCTTGTATTTCTAAGCCTTCTTGAGCTGATTGATTTAGAAATATCTCATAAGAATGCATAGAATTGAATTTCTGTGAACAACTTCTACAATGCACATTTAACCCATGTACATTTCTTAGTCAATTGCTCTGAATTCTGGAAGAATCCCACATTGATTTATTCTTCAGTAGTATCCCTGCCACTGTCCTGCCCTTCTCTTGGTTCCTTTATATAGACCCAATCTAGCTTTATAATAGCAGTATTCTCTCTTTATTGTTCTGAAGATACTGACTTTGGTACTCTTAAAATGTATTCTTCCAGGCCTGGTGCAATAACATAGTGGCTAAAGTCCTTGCCTTGCATAAGCTGGGATCCCATATAGGCACTGGTTCTAATCCCGGCAGCCCCACTTCCCATTCAGCTCCCTGCTTGTGGCCTGGGAAGGCAGTCAAGGACAGCCCAAAGCCTTGGGACCCTGCACCCGTGTGGGATACCCGGAAGAAGCTCCAGGGTCCTGGGTTCAGATTGGCTCAGCTCCGGCTATTGTGGCCACTTGGGGGAGTGAATCAACAGATGGAAGATCTTCTCTGTTTGTCCTCCTCTCTGTATATCTGACTTTCTAATAAAAATAAAATAAATCTTCTTTCCTGTAGTGCCCACTTTCTCACCCGTTGACAGTTCTCAGCGTCAGCTTAGCTTCGCCTTCCCCATCTCTAGAGGAGTGAGAGAGACTGCTGGCTGAGAGGCCAGTCCCTGGGTTTTGCACAAGGGAGCCCCTTCTTCCTGGTCCAGGCCACCACCCTGATCTGGGCTTAAGCCAATGACACTATTTCCATTTTATAAGGTGTTATCCCTCTTTCCTACATGCATCCACAGGAATCCCCGATCCGCACAAACACATCCATATCCTTCCCCTTCCTGCTGTTAGGGTTCACCTGGCAGTCCTATCGCCAGTGTTGAGGTATTGTGAATATGTAATGTCATTAACATAAAGATATAACAAATGTTGATTTTCTAGCTTTTTTTTTAATTTTAGCACCACATACGAAAATAACGCACATCCTATACCTTCAGCTGTGCTTTTCTCTTTGGTCTCTTGTACACGTAAAGCTCAGTGGCAAAGCTCCTTGAAAGGCACATTTTATTATGTGGACATTACGCTTCGGAAAAACAGATCTTTTGTGTGTTTTTTTTTTAATGTTCAAAAAATAGCGATCAGACTGATTTCTCCATGCGTGTTGAAAAACAGTAGGAGATGGAAAAGCAAGAATGAAATGATGACGTGTTTCACTGGGCATTGTTTCTCTTCAGGGAATGATGTCTGATGAAATACTCGATGTAATGTCTAGCATTCCTGAGGCTGAAAAATTTGCTAAATTCTGGATCTGCAAAGCTAAGCTGTTGGCAAGTAAAGGTCCTTTTGATGTGATTGGGTTATACGAAGAGGCCATTAAAAGTGGGGCAACAGTGAGTATCTGTTCTGAGTAAGTTACCTAGAGTTCTCTCTCCTGTGTGTGCTCTGTTGGCAATACGATGGTCATGTAATAGTAATTTCTAATTCAATTCCTAGAGTTTTACACAGAATATATCTTTTCTGAACATTTTAATTATTTATTTCCTAGAAAGCCACATTACATGTAAACCAGTATAATTAATTTGCCAAGCTGACTGTCTCAACACTAATTAGAGAAAAATATGATCATGGAAAGTAATAGCCTAGAAAATTATAGCGTCAATATTCAGTACTTAATAAGAACCCTACCTAAAAATCATAAATGTATACTAAAAAACATCAATATCACTAAGTCAGTCATTCGGAGCCACTGCATGAAATAATATTTAATTCTAAAATCTAAAGGGGGAAAATACTTTATGATTTTTTTTTTACACAGATCACGTTAAATATTTCTGCACTCTTTACTTCAGTGTCATTGTCCGGGTCATACTCCACACCCTCCGTGGCCTGTGTCTGTGCTCACCCTCAGGGTTACACACACACATTGTTTAAGTGGTCAAGTTGCTGAACAAGTTTCATTCCATAGAGTCTCTTCCTCCTCCTCTTCCATTCTCTAGTTCCTGGGGAATACTACTCGTTTCTGTAGTGACCTCTGTAGTGTCAGGAAAACATGCATATGTTGTTGTTGTTGCATTTTTCAGCTTTAAACACAGTTTGTAAACATCCAGCTAAAATAAGGCCTTAACCCGCTTTCACACATACCTGTACAGATCCCCAGCACATGTATAACCCTTCTTCTGTCATCCCTGTGGCCTTTGCAATGTTCACACCTGCATTAGGGTCACAATTCTAATCACAGTTTAGTCATCACATTGTTATAAATCTGTAAGAACTATGTGACTCCCTTGATCCATGTAATATATGTTATGATTACCTTGCCTTTCAAGTACAAGCTTCTACTTTTCCTGGAGCCTATATCAAGTTGTTTTTATTTCACCTTTGGTTAATTTCCTATCTATGACATAATTCCGAAATTCATGTCTAACTACATTTCTCAATACTTTAAAAACATCAGGTTTGCTGATGATTTCCCTTCCCCGGGACCTCCTAATTGGTTCAAAACGCCACACTGCCCTTTCCTCCTGCCTTCCCTGGTTCCCATCCTGAGATTCCTTCTCCCCGCCCCCTTCTTGTCCTCTGCTCAGCCTTCTGGTGCTGGGTAGATCCCTTCTTTCCTGGAGCCTCTATCAAATTTTATTCTTCCCACATTGTTTCTTCTCCAACACTTTGCTTCTCTCTCTTTATCTCTCTTGATCTCTTGATGTTTTGTTTTGTTCTCTAAAGACTTTACTCAGAAGCCAGCATTGTGATGTAGCAGTTAAAGCTGCTGCCTGCAATGCCAGCATCCCATAAAGGCATCAGTCGGCATACTGACTGCCCCACTTCCAGTCTAGCTCCCTGCTAATGGCCCGGGAGAGCAATAAAGCATAGTCCACGTACTTGGGCTCATGCAAGCCTTGAGGAAGATTAGGATAAAATTTTGGCTCCTGGATCCTGGCTCCTGGCTTCAGCTTGGTCCAGCACTGGTCACCATGGCCATCTGGAAAATAAATCAACAGATGGAAATATTCTTTTCTGTGTCTCTTCTCTCTTCCTCCCTCCCTCCCTTCTCTCTCTCTCTCTCTCTCTCTCTGTAACTCTTACAAAAATAAATGTTTTTTTCTTTTCTAAAAGTCTTTACTCAGGTGTGGGTGAAATGTGACAATCTATACTTATAAGAAGTAAGTTTGGAGAGGCCCATCAAGGCCCTGGACACGACATGTGAATGGGGCTCCACCGCAGAGATCTGGCTGAGTTGAACAGTTAGAGAACCTTCAATATCTGAGTCGCTAGGTCTTTCCTCTTAAACTAATCAAGGTTTCTGATGCAGCGTCGTCCCACCTCCTCCTGAAGGTGAGGCTGGGTGATGCCAGGGTCATGGAAAAGAGGGCTAGGAGTCTACCCACAGCATGGAAACTTCTCATTTAATCCTTCTCTCAATAGGCACCCCACCTACTGGAGAGTAAGATGTAAGTTTATGTTCAGTCCACTGTTTTTCACCGGAGTCTGAAAACATAAGCATGCTGCCTGACATTCTCCAGGGTCTAAGAGAAAATGTCCCTAGTTTCCCGACAACAGAGGGCTGTGCATGGCCACCAGGTTGCATGAAGTTCAGAGGTGCAGGTTGGATTTGGAGGTCCTATTTTTTTTAACAGATACTACAGAGTCCTCCTAGTTAGGGCCCCACAACACATCCTGGAGTCTTTTGGAGGACTTTGGGTCCAAATCAGGCTTTTCCTCAGGCAGCATTGTTAATTTAGGATGGAACACACTCAAGTTAGTAACTTCCTGTTGCATTCCAGCTTCCAGAATCTTACTGCAATTTCTACTCTCTTTTCCTCCTGGCTAGTGCCTCTTTTTAATTCCTTTATTATCATCTCAGGAGAGATGAGAAATAAATATGTTTTCAGTACATCGTGTTTAACGACAAGCCTAGAAAAATGTAAAACATATCTGAAGAATTATGTATTTATATATGAATATAATTCAGACCCCTTTTGCAATATGATTCCCAAGTCAGGGAGACAGACATCAAAATGCAATTTCTATGAAAAAGAGTAGTTCAGTTTATGATGTTCTACTTCATGGTCTAGTTTATTTACTTTGAAAAATGAAGGCTATTTTAGATCATTTTTATCATAAAATTAGTGATCTCTTTTTAAAGATTATTCTATCACCAACCAAAAGAAGAAGAAAAAAAAAAAAAAAAAAGACTGAGGCAAACTCCCCAAAATGGTAACAAAGATTGTATAAGCATTTATCATTTCCATCAGTGCTTTTAATATTTTTCATACGTTTTCTTCCAGCCTATACAAGACCTGCGAAAAGTCGTTCTTAATATTTTGCAAGACTCAAAAAGAACTACAGAAGGTATTGTTTCTTGTGTGTTTAAATCCAGTCCCTCTAGCTAAGCAGAAAAATCAAACAGGAACACATAGAGCAAGTAAGCAGATTTTAAATCCCTTGAAACATGTCTCACTTCTTGACTTTCATACTGCGCCCCTCTCAGCCTTCATCATCCCTGACCTGTGGCTGCCCAGTACAGCACAAAGCTCATCTCCATAGGAAGCGCCCAGGCCAGAATGTCCAGTTTCCCTCAAGTCTTAGGCAGAAGGAGACAGATGACTCTTAAGAGACAGAGCAAACCAGGACAAATACCTTGGCTTAAGATAGATGTTTCGTCAAGTAACTTAATATACCCAAGGACACTTTATAAAAGAAAGTGAATTATATTGTCTTAGAAGGTGACAAATGTTTTTGTTTAATAATAGATTTAACTGGGCCTGGCACAAACCTTAGTGGCTAAATACTCAACTTATATTTGCCAGGATCCCACATGGGCACAGGGTCATATCCCAGTTCCACTTCCCATCCAGCTCCCTGCTTGGAGTCTGGGAAAGCAGTAGAGGACAGCCCAAAGCCTTGGAACTCTGCACCCATGTAGGAGACCTGGAAGAACCTCCTGGCTCTTGGCTTCAAATCAGCTCATTTTTAGCCATTGAAGCCCCTTGAAGAGTGAACCAGCAGATGGAGGATCTTTCTCTGTCTCTCCTCCTCTCTGTAGATCTGACTTCACAATAATAATATATTTAACTGAGAACAATCAAGTCACATGGAAATATAGCTTAAATGACTCTCTACTTAAGGAATAAGTTCCTAGTAGGAAACCATCAGTGGTGAACTCTTGCAGGGAAACATACTTCAGTTCACATATCTGGCCATAATGTTGACAACATTCTTCAAAGACATGGAAAGAGAAAACAGGAACCCATGCCTTTGGCATTTGTTGGCCCACTGGGCCTCCCTTGGGGTCTTGTCCCTACGCCCAGTGTCTGCTTCTTGTCTACTTCTCTCCTTTTCGTTCTGGAAGTTGTGGTTGGTCTACCATGAAAACTGTGTTGATGCAACATATTTACCCACTAGTGAAGGGAATGGCCATGTGGTTATCATTGGTAAGAAGGCATCAGGCCGTCAAGGAAGTTAATTAATGAATCAAGAAAATTGATCTGCAGTCTGGTGTCAGAGTAGAAGGGAAGTGACTGGCCCCTAACAGCTCTCTTGAGAACAAATAAAAGATTGGGAAGGCGTTCAAAGTATTAAGGTAGGAAGGAGTCAGTTGCACATGGCGAGGAGGCCCAAGGCTGTCTACAGAGCTGGTTGATGTTACCAGGATCTGCTACAGACTTAGCAAAAAAGCAAGGCGTAAGTCGTCCCACTCCACTCCAGCCCTGCTTACTTAATGCGTGGACCCCATGAGGACCACAGGGGACCGTTGTGTGTTTACTTTCCTGTTTCACTGATGTTGAGCTTGAGTATTAAATTGTTCAATCTCACTTTCCTCCCTGACCTCACCCAGGAGTGACCTCTGACCCTTCAGGCACCGAAACTGACACAGCATCAGTAGAAGTGCTGGCCAACACCGTGGAATCAGGACAGGCTTGTCTTTCTCCTTCTCCCAAGGAGAGAGAGCAGCTTGCAGCAACACCCCACATCTCCATAGCCGAACAGGATAGTCATTCTGGGATCAAGTTACAGGTTGCCCCAATTCCCAGGTAAGCGGACTCTCAGCAGCTTGTGTGTTCACAGACCTTATTCTAGTCTAGTTCTCAGCAAATTCATTTGTTTCTGCTCCCACGAGGGCTCTGGCTTTCAGGCAGGAGCTGAGAGCAGAGGAGGTTGGGTCATTGAGTCCGTGTCCTTGTACACACAGCATCCCCCTCACAACTACCCTGTCGAGGCCTGCGCTGCAGCGAGAAGGGGGCTGTTAGCATCAGAGGAAGTGGGGCGCTGGAGTGGACTCACTCCTCTGCCCCTGGAATGGGTCCTCTCCCACTGCCTTTCACCCTGTCCAGCTCTCATGCCAGTCCCAGGACGGAGCTCCCTCTGGAGGGGTGAGAGAGAAGGGATGGCTGGCCCTGTCAGAGCAGGGAGGGCATTGAGTATGTCCCAGCCAGACTACTCTGGGGATCAACAGGCTTTTGCTTTCCTAACAAGTGCGAGTTTGAGGTGATGTCAGGAGCTGTGTCAGGGTGTTCATGCTGTCTTCTAAGCTGTTGGTGTGACGTCACTCTGTTGGTATCTTGGAGGGGGACTTGGAAGCTAGAGTGCCGGGACAACAAACGTGGCTGGTTGTCCTCCAGCCCCAGCCTGCTCCAGGCATGTCCCTTACCTGCTCCAGTCAGCTCCTGGTCAGACGAAAGCAGGCAGGTGGTCCCCAACTCACCTTAAAGCTGGGCCCTAGGATGTACCGAGATGGCTTTTTAGCAGGCATGACCTTATACGGTGAGTGGGTTTGTGACCCATGAATGGCCTGTGCATCCTGTCCCCCAGGCTGCTTTGTAATAGCATGCATTTACAAGCATGCCAGGAAGATACCCAGTGTGTTCTCGTTTTGTTTTGCGGTTTGGGCTGCCATCTTAAAAGATGCTTTCTGAGCGATTTATCATTGAAGCTAGAAAGAAGCTTAGAATATATTTGTTCATCCAAATTTGCTGTTAGACCCAATCCTTAACTTGTTACCTCTTTTGAAAGTTTATGGAATAAATAAATACCAACTGCCAGTTAGATAACTTCCAATAAAAGCCACATTTTAGGGCACATGATCACCATGCAGTACATTCTGGAAATCAGGGAAAAGCTAAATTAGGAGGAAAACTGCCCTTCAGGTAGCTCTGCACTGACCCGTCATGTTTTGTTATAGAATAAGGAACAGTAGCAGCTCCCTAAATGCTAAGGTCTTGAACTCCTCTCTCTGTCTCTCAGGGTGAGTGGAATGGTGGAAGTACAAAATATGAAGCTCATCACCCCCGTGCGACGCTCAGCCAGGATCGAGCGAGCAGTGTCCCGCTACCCGGAGATGCTGCAGGACCACGACTTGGTGGTGGCGTCTCTTGACGAGCTCTTGGAAGTGGAAGAAACCGAGTACTTTGTATTCCGTAAAAATGAGGCCTTGCCTGTAACATTAGGGTTTCCAGTTCTTGAATCGTAATTCCTGCATGAGTCAAGAAAAAGTCCTCATCCAGGTGCCCTGGAAAAGAATGTGTCCCGGAGAGGCACAGTGGATGCAGCGACAGACCCTGGGGACGTTGGAAGTCACTCACTAGGCTGCTTCGTAAATCCTACGTCCCTACAGCGACGCTTGGGTTTGTGAGTTTAAGTCTAGTTTGCCACAGATTTACAAGTTCAAACTATTGCCCTGCAAATGTGGTTAAAAATATGCCCATTCCTGTGCCACTTTAATTGCCAGCTAGTTGACATTTCATGCAGAAAGCTGGTGCCACAGCACAGTGCACTGTCCGAGCATCCACCTTCCTGGGAGAAGGCCCTTAACGCTTGGGAGAGCTGAGCACCAAGTAGCCTGCAGGTGCATGAGCAAGGCAGCAGCCTGGCAGGGCCTCACTGTGCAGATACAGATGCTCCTGCGCACACAGGACAATCACAGGGATCCTGACTCCCGTCACAATGTCCCTTAGACAAAGGCTAGTCCCTGTCCCTCCCTTCCATGACTCAAATCTGGCACAGTCCTAAGTTGGGGTGGTCCCCCTGGTTTTATATCCAAATCTGATTTTGCACGCATTCTTCAGGTCAAAATAGAAGGCAGGAGAGAGCAGTGGGGAAGGGCCTCAGCTTCACCTCCATGCTTTGCCACGGGACAGCGGCCCTGAGGGCAGTGTGAGCCTCCAGAGACTGCTGGAGGGCACTTTCTCTTCCTAGCAAACGCCCTGGGAAAGGTCCAACCCGAGTCATTATGTAAATAGAAAAACATCAGCAGCACATTTAAAATTTTAGCCTTCTTAATATTTAACTATTTGTCTAAAACTAGGCCATTAAATTTATGTTTTGTTCCTACATACTCATTTGTCTTATTTATTATGAAAAGAGGTGATGACGGTCTGGCAAGAGAATCAGAGCTTCCTGTGAGGAAAGCTCAGTGGGCTGTGTGGGGAGGCGCCCCTGGGGACAGTCACCACCCTGGGGAACTGCCCTTGCTCAAGGGGCTGACCAGCCTCATCTAGGAAGACTTGTGAGAGCAGAGCAATAGCCTGTGACCATGGTGCCACCAGACCAAGCAGCCTGTCACCACAACGGAAAGGCAGGAGCCCCGAGGTAGACTTGCTTCACCTGAGAATTCCAGCAGAGTGGTACGTGATCCCAGGACCCAAACATGGGACTTGGAGCAATCGGATGTGCCAAGTCACCCGGCTGATCCGGAACAAGTCCCTCCGCATCAGCAACATTCTGGCTAAGACCTCACATCCACTGACCGAGGCCTTGATCCTGCACTGCTGTCTTTGGCTTCTGCCGTGTTCCTTTTCGTTACCTTCTAGGATGGTTCGTGCTCCCCATCCAAGGCCTAGGAAGCTGCTACATCTTTTTATTTTAAAGATGTATTTATTATTGACAGGCAGATTTACAAAGAGAAGGAGGGACAAAAAGATCTTCCGCCTTCTGGTTCAGTCCCCACATGATCATAATGGCCGGAACTGAGCCAACATGAAACTAGGAGCCTCCCACATGGGTGCAGCGTCCCAAGGCTTTGGGCCATCCTCCATTGCTTTCCTGGGCCAACTGCAAGGAACTGGATGGGAATCAGCACTGTCTGAATACAAACTGGCACCCATATGAGATCCTGGTGCGTGCAAGGCAAGGACTTTAGGTACTAGGCTACCGTGCTGGGACCGTACTGCCTCTTTTAATGAGTATCCCAGCTTGCTCAGGAACCCTTCCTTCCTGCTTTTTTTAAGATCCATAATTTTGGGCCTGGCATGATAGTCTAGTGGCTAAATCTTTGTCTTGCATGCCCTGGGATCCCATATGGGCACCAGCTGCTCTACCTCCCCAAGTGGTGCAGAGGATAGTCCTCTGCCCAGGCCCACCAGAGTCCAGTATTTCCCTGGCTAGGGGCATTGATGGGCGGGAGGAGTTGGATCTCAGAACCAGAGATCCATTTCCAGGTTTCTGCTACAGACCTATTACAGTTGCTAAAAAGATATGGTAGAAATCTGGGACCACAATTTTATAACCTGTGTGGGACACAATATGTCAGGGTCTAAAATAAATACCATATAGACCTGAGAGAGAGCTGCATTTGACATGGACTTGATCCCCTGGCTCACGCTATGCCTGGAGTCAGCCTAGCCCTGTTAGTGACCAGAAAATCCCCTTCTTCTGAAGCCAGTTTCACTTAAAAGTAAAACCACACACACCCACAACTTAGGACAGACAGTGCTCTGCCCCAGCCCTCTATCAGCAGTCTCACTGTGACTGAGCTGGGCAAGACCTCAGGGCAGTTAGACTGAACGCAGGGCTGCGGTTCCCAACCAGCGGCTGTCTGGCTGCAAGCCGTAGCTTTTAATGCTTCTGTCTGTTTTGAGTACAGGAGTGAGGATGCTGAGGACAGTGATGAGAGCAGAGCGAGTCTGGGAGAGATTCTTGGACCGGTTCCCAGCAATCTTTCCAGGACAGGAATCTCTGATCCCTTTTCACCACAGTCCACCACCCCAGGGATGGCGCATTTCTTCATTTCCTGCCTGCCGCAGACTTGAGGCAAAGCCTGTGCATCCATGTGGCCACTAGGACTGCTCCCAGGTGGAAACGCTGCTCTGTCACACGAGCAATCCAACTGAAAGCAGCGTGCTGCCAGGCACCCCTGGGGTGCAGCCCCAGCTATAGGAAAGATGTCAAAGGAAAGATGCCTTGTATAAGGTGCAGCTCAGAAGTTGGACGGACTACGTCTGCCCAGGATGGAGGGTCATGTGGCCCCACCCTTCTTCAAAGCTGGGAAAGAGATGGGTCTGTGGGCTAGGGGCAAAAAGGTACCTTTGCTTCAGGTACAGGGAAAACCTGTAGCCCACATCCCATCCCCCCCAATCATTCCCTTCCTCAGACCCCAAACCTACCCCAATCCTTTGCTGCATTCTTTCTATCTTGAGTGGGAATTCCACAGAGAAGACACAAAAAGATCTTCCATCCACTGGTTCACTCCCCAAATGAGCACAATGGCTGGAACTCACCAATCCAAAGCCAGGAGCTTCTTCCGGTCTGCCACATGGATGCAGGGTCCCAAGGCTTTGGGCTGTCCTCTAGTGCTTTCCCAGACCACAAGCAGGGAGCTGGATGGGAAGCAGAGTATCCAGGACATGAACTGGTGCCCATATGGGATTCCAGCATTTGGAGGTAGAGGATTGAACAACTGAGCCACTGCACTGAGCCCTGAAGGGTGACTTCTGTGACAGGGACTACTCTATCACATTCCAGGATCTTTCCAGAAAAGCAAGGACCCTTGAGTCTGAGCAGTTAAAGAGAAGTCTAGCAGTTCTCTAGCCCTTAAAGAAGACCCTGGTGGGCCCGGCGCGGAGGCCTAGCGGCTAAGGTCCTCACCTTGAATGCGCCAGGATCCCGTATGCATACCGGTTCTAATCCCAGCAGCCCCGCTTCCCATCCGGCTCCCTGCTTGTGGCCTGGGAAGGCAGTCAAGGACGGCCCAAAGCCTTGGGATCCTGCACCAAAGTGGGAGACCTGGAGGAAGTTCCTGGCTCCTGGCTTTGGATCAGCACAGCACCAGCCATTGCAGTCACTTGGGGAGTGAATCATCGGATGGAAGATCTTCCTCTCTGTTTCTCCTCCTCTCTGTATATCTGACTTTGCAATAAAAATAAAATAAAATCTTTAAAAAAAAAAAAAAGAACCTGGTGTTTAAAGACATGAGGCCAGGGATCCCGATTTTTCTGTGTGGGGAACCAACCGCTGCAGACTCAGCCCAGATGTCACTCAGGGAAGACAGGCCCCGGCAGCTTCTGAAATGCACAGCAGTATAAAGCAGTACGTGAACCCTGAGCATGTGACCTGCTCCCCTTACACAGCCCTACGGAGTCACACTGCTGAGCCACACACACACACACACACACACACACACACACACACACACACACGATGAAACAGGTGAACTGTGACGTCAGACTTCCCCCCCCCCCACAGATCTGCTTTGTCATTCTAAACAGGCAGGTTCATTCTAAGCTTCCATGTAATGCCAACAATACCACCAGCTGACAAAGAAGTGAGCCATGGGAGAGAATTAAAATCAGGGGCACCGGAAGGAGAGGCTGCTGAGAAGCTCGTCTTTGTATGTCATGATGCACTCGTATCTAATTCAAAGGCCTTTTGCTACCTCACTCAATCCGTAGTGACTTGGACTGCAAGAACAGTTACTGGAGCAGTCTCTAACCAATTCTATTTTATTGGTATTACTAAGTGACAAAATCAAGGGCATTAGAAACCCTGAGTTATATAAGGTGATGTTGAGAAATAAAATCAGGCATTTTAAGGCAGCTTAAGAGAACTGAGTCAAGTAGTTCCCATTGACTATACACACACTTCCGGCAGCTGCAAGGCCACGGGGATGACTTCCAGGCCCTCCTCTGCCAGGAATCCATGACACCAAGGAGATGAGGGCAGCGGTTGCGTGCTTCTTCCATACTGTTCCCGAATCTCAAGTAAGAAGGTGACCTGTGATGACAGGTGCCGGTCTACGCCCAGGATGTGGTCAGCCGCAGTGCGACCCGCATTGGTCCTCGCTCTCTTTACCTTCAACCTTATGAAAAAACAAAGACAATGGTCACGGAAACCTTCTTCCCAAGATGGGACAGAAAATTTGCCACCGATACTCCCAGATGAGCCGGGCCAGTGATGGGAGCAAGGAAGGGGTCAAACCTTCCTGGAGAGTCCCCAGGTACCAGGTTTGGGTGTGACCGGCTCACAAGTGTGGAAACTACCGCAAGTCCCTGATTAAAGAAGATGAACGTCTAAATTCTGAGCTCCGCTAGGCAAGTAAGCAGCTCACGCTGTCAGGTGGACGGGTCTCAGTAAGAAACAGTCTGAAAGATGGCATCATGCCTTCTCATGCCACTCGACTTAACAGAACCTAGGAGAGGGCTGTCTTCAAAAGCAAGCCAGAGTGGACAGGAATCTCCCTGCAGGGTCAGGATGCCAAGCCACGCTGGGAGCCAAGGCTGCCCATAAAACATGCCCAGAAGCAGAGTGACAGCACAGCACTTGCCAGGATCCAAAGTGAGCGCCTATACCTATTGGTGTTTATAGAAGCTTTCGGTAGGGGGAGCCCTTGGCTCAGCCTGGCTCAGGGGAGCGAGTGCCCGTGGGGTGGACCAGATGGAGTTCCTGGCTCCTGGCTTTGGCCTGTCCAGCTTTGGTTGTTGTGGTCATTTATGAACCAGCAAATAGAGTCTCTCTCTCTCTCTCTCTCTCTCTCTCTCTCTCTCTCTTTCCCTTTTCTCCTTTTCCTTCCCTCTCTATAATGCTTTCATAAAAATAAATCTTCAGAAAGGAAAGGAGTTAGCAGGCAGCAGTGCCTGAAAAAGCGCAGGACAGCCAAGCCCGAATTTACAAATAATTTCCTCCTTTACACACTCAATTAAAATTCGTAACTATTGTCTGCGTAATTTTAAATATCCATCTAATGCCCTAACTATAACAAAGGAGAAAGAAAAACAATGTATCACATGTGTTTCTACATATAAAAGACACTTGCCCCTAATTAACCTTGTAAAGAATGTCAAAATAAAATTTTATTTAAAAAATAAATAAATAAATAAAAGACACTTGAAGACCAAAATGCCTCCACAGCACCGCCCAGCGGTCATGGCCTTCCCAGTGCAACCCGGCTTCAGCCCAAGCCGCCCATGCCAGCCCATGCCAGCCCATGCCAGCCCATGCCAGCCCATGCCAGCCCCAAGCCGCCCCAGCTCCAAGCCCACAGCCACGCGGCTCCTTGGTGAGGAGCAGAGCCTGGCTCCCTCCCAGCTACTCACCCTCCGGCTGCCAGAGACGGGGCAGGAGGTAGGGTCCAGACCAGCCCGTTCTTGTTCCACAGCTAATTCATGCGGCATCTGCAGGACAAACTCAGATGCAAAGGGAGCAGCCCTCTGGTGGAAAGGCCTTGCAGGGGCATCAGCTGGGCACGGACTATCCCCATCCACAGCCGCCAGGTTCTTGTCCAGTGAGGGTGCAGAGCCTGGGGGCGGGTCGCCAAGGGAGGGAAGGTTCTGCCAGCTGCACTTCCCTGGCTCAGAAATGGGTGGTGGTGCCAACAGGGCACCAGCCAAGTATATACCTGGAACCTGGCAGCCCTAGGGTCCCATCCCAGCTGTGTAGTCTACTAGTAATGTGACCACAGGAAGTTCAATTTTTCTGCCTTTCCATTCTACCCAAGGGCAAGCAAGGAGAAAAACTCTTCATTGCTGGGGTCTGGTACACATCAGGCAGCACCCAGCCCAGCATGAAAAATGACAGACACTCAATAAGCAGCTTGTCTCTGCTCGATCCTCCAGGTGGAGGGAAGGACAGGGGCATCTCTGTGGGACTGTTCCCGTGCGTGTTTTCCAGGTGGGAGACTGGGTCTGGTGACCTTGCAAAGTCCTAACAGGGATGAGGTTCCGACAGCTCCTTCTCCAGATTTGTGCAGGGACCCACCAGCTCCGGGACGGCACGAAACAGCGAGCTGAGCGGGTAGTGCAGGAAGTTGAGGCAGGTGGCGGTGTAGAGGTCGGCGTAGCGCATCAGCTGATTGGAGAAGAGCGTCTGGCGGAAGCCGCAGCGGAACAGGCTGCCCGTGGTGCGGTAGCACAAGTCCAGCTCCCGGGTGAGCCTCTGGCCAGGAGGACGGTGTGATGCATTGAGATCCCAGCCCACTTCCGCCCCGTCAGCTAAGATGTGGGAGGACACTGCACTTGTGTCCACCTGTGGGACTGAAACCCACAGGCCACGCACCTGCAGGACTCACCACGCACCTAACTTGCCCTTGCCTATCCCACGACTAGGCTTTTTGTTTGTAGCAAGGAGGATGGACCTGGTCATCGGTCCCAGGATAGCCAAGGGCATGTTATTGCCACCTCTCTGAGCCTCACCTGCCTCATTGGCAAAGTGTGACAATCCCGGCCCAGCCAGGCTCATGAGGCTGGGAGGTGAGCTCCATGTGCCTTATGCAGTAGAACCTGCAACAGCCTTCCCAAAGCTGCATTGGACCCAGCTGGGTAGGGATATGCTGCATCGTGGCATGATGCCCCCCAGCCCAGCAGGCCTGCAGGAATCTCCCCGCCTGGGAGTGTGGCTCCTGGTGCCACAAGGAAATGTTTGCCTTTCTCCCCCACCCCCAGAATCCTCGGTCACATTTTCTCTGGACCCTTCTCTGGTTGGCCCCAGATGTCACTCATAGCTGGCCAGCTGGTCATGTGGAGGCACACCCCAGCTGGCATGCTCTTCAAAGGGGGTTAGGACAGAGGGCAGCAGGCAAACCCCAGAAATCAACAAATCGCCTCCACTGGCCCTTGATCGAGGACGCTGCCGCTATTTGGCGGATGCGCCAGCAGAGGGCGCTGTCTGATAAGGCCAGGGGCAGCTGGGGCACATCAGCCAGGGACAGGACACAGCCCATGCAAGCTGCAAACCAGGGCGCTTCCCTTCCTCCCACACAGGGCTGACCCCTCCCACCCCTGCTCTTACCCGAATCTCCTTCTTAGTGGAGTTGATGACTTGCAGGCCAGCACTGCTTCCATCCATGTGCCTGAAGCAAAAATGGCAGGTGAGCCAGGAGCAGACCCCTGGAGAGTCGGCGAGGGGTAGACACAAGGGGCCCCTCGTGGGGAGTGCTAGCCCGTGGGTGGATTAGGAGGAGGAACAGGGGTCAGTGAGTGGAAGTCCCTGGGAAGCCACTGAGGTCCCCAAAGTCCACTTAACTAGTAACACCCAACCCAGAAACACACCTTGGTTTCCTAACCCCTTGGGCCAAGCTGTGCTGACCCCAACTCCCACCCAGGTGGACCAGGTGCTCACTGGTATAGGTCTGCCAAGTGTGTGTCCAGCCTCTTCAGCTCCTCCTCTCGCTCTACAACCCAACAAGGAACAGAATCCCTCACTGGCCCTGGCTGGCCTGGGGCTGTGGGGTGGGGAGGGGTAGAGGGTGGGGGGTCTACACTAACCGAGCTGAGGACATGAGCTCACCCCAAGTCAGGTGAGACCCCAGCCAGAAGCAGAAGGGGTCAGCATAGAACCCGTGGACAGGGGAGGACGGCCTCAGGCAGCCAGGAGACCTTCCCGAAGTCACAGGGCAATGACTCACACCGGCCCCAGAGAAGAAGCCCCAGGCTGCTCTAGTTAACAACAGCCACAACCTCAGGATAAAACTGCATGCCATTCCAGCAAGAGAAAACCATGTACCTTCCACTTCCTGTGAGTCCTTGGAGCAGGTAGGGAGGGAGGGGAAGGGTGAGGAAGGAAGCCCCAGCCCAGGAAACAAGGGGGAACCTGGAGCCCCTACCTGAGGGTCCGAGTCCAGCTGTGTGACTTTAGGCAAGCTACTTAACCTCTCTGGGTATCTGCTTCCTGCGCTCCCGCACAGACCATGGTGGATGGAGTTCTGCTCATGACTAATCCCTGCCCCTCCCCCGCAGAAGAAGGAGGCAGACGGCAGTGGGGTGGTCCCTGCAGTGGCAGCCACCCACCCTAGCCCCCCAGTGGCTCACCCTTCTCTCGGGCCCAGATGCCCAGCTCCCGGGAGAGCTCGGGAACCACCAGGCAAGTGCGCCAGCCCTGCCGCTTCTTGGACTTCACGATGTCCCCGAAGATGTGGTCTCCCACGTACAGGATGTCCTTCCCTCGCACGCCGAGCAGCTCACACACCATGTCCGAGGAACCTGCCCACCACAGGTGCTCGCTCAAGCTGCCTGTCCATAGCTCAGCAGGGGAGGTCCATACCCTGGGCTCCGAGAAGCAGGACACACGGCCGAGCAAGCAGCTACCTCCGGAGTAGACGGCGCAGTGCTGGTGTGGCCCGGTGTAAGTGCCCACGCGGAGCTTTCCTGAGTCCTGGGTTGGAGGGGAGGAAGGGAAGAGGTTGGGTACCCTAGCCAGAACAGCAGCTGTACCCCAGGCCAGAGAAGGCTTGGAGTGGCTAAGGAGGGAGCAGACAGCGGGGCCCTGAAGGAGGCCTCTGGCTCCCTGCTTCCAGAGGCAGAAGGAGCAGGTTGCCTCTCTCCACCAAGCTGTGATCCTCCCCATCTTCCCTTCATCAAGGTGGGCGGGGCCTCAGCCCCTGCCTTACCGTGTTGACCTGTCTGAGCACCGTCCCCTCCGCAAAGAATCGAGGCTTCTGTGTGTCCACCACCACCAGGTCGAAGTAAGACCTCCAGGGCCTGGCCGATGCCTCAGCCTGTGGCGGGGGCGAGCATGGAGGGGACACACAGCATGCACGTGGTGGGGAGAAGCTGGCCTAGCGCAGCCCCACCCCACAGAGACCAGCAGCCTCCTGGCCACATGGAGCTGGGATGTGCCCAGGAGAGCTGGCAGAAGTGGCTGATGGGCATTGCAGGTGCCTCAGCATCCCTCATGGGGCAGACACCCAGGAACGTGGGACACACACACACACCCCAGTACCCAGGGCCTGTGATGCCTGCATCTCACTCCAGTCCCCGCCCCATCAGCCCTCCCCAAACAGCCAATCACCTCTTCCCAGCCTTGTAGGAGAGGACATGCACCCCCACCCCAAAAGGGCACCTTCATGGCCTGACTGAGGGCTCTAGAGAGAAGCCAGCCAGACCCCAGCAGGTAAAGGAACAACTCCCAAGTTTGGCTTCTCCTCCATGGGAGGGCTGGGCCTGGGAGGGACCTCCAGCCTTGCAGCTTGACCAGCCCTGTACTTGATGGCCCAACACAACCCAGCATAAGTCACTCACCCCACCACCGCTGAACAGGTAGGTCATGATGGCCTGAAAGGACAGGGCAGGGTCAGGGTGGGACCCGGGAGCCACAGCCCGCCTCTGCCCTCACCCCCATACACCCAGGGCACACAGGAGGCGGGCTGCAGGAGCAGTTTGGTGAAACAGAACCCATGTGCATGCTTGCAACTCACACAACGCACCCTCACATACTCGTGTGCATACATGCACGCTCACACACACGCACACTCACATCAGTGTAGTTGTAGCCGCTGTTGGTGGCCAGGAACACTTTTCCCACCTCCTTCATCTTGCCCAGCAGGATGGGAATCCGATCCTGGGGCAGATACTACAGTGACCCCAGGGCTAGGGTCTCCCAGAGTGGCAGACACCTCCTTCTCCCCCTCTTCTTAGGTCTCCTGCCTCCTGGGAGCCTAGCTCCAGGCCAGGCAGGAAGGCCCCAAATGACGCCCACCCTCAGGGTGCAAGTTTGTGTCTAAACCTCAAGGAAGATGGCAGGGAAGGGAAGGAGAGGCAGCCATGAGGGACAGGGGCAGGGCTTGGTCATGGCCTTGGTCTGTGGCCACTCACGTCCTTCTCCACATATTTCTCCAGATCCTCCAGGGTCTTCTCCTTGAGACAGCCCTGCAGGAGGGAGCAGAGAGCAGGGTGTGTATGCGCGCATCTCCCGTGGACCTGCCCATGAGCCCACATCCAAGATGGCGGGAATAGTGCTGCCAGAGGGGAGAGCGGAGAGGACCCGAGGGGACTGGAGGCCTGGAGATTGCCCCCAGAGAGCCACATGCAGACAGATCCAGGGTCCTGGGGCCCTGGGCAGCTCACCGACTGGTGGACATTATTCATGGCATCAGTCACGTCCTGGAAGAGGCTCCGGAAGGACATGAAGAGGTTCCCATGCTGGTAGCCAGTGTCACAGCTGAAGAGACACAAGCCACGCAGGTTCCACCTGCCTCCAGCCATGCCAGGACCTGCACCAGCTAAACCCTGAGCCACCCCCAGGAGGAGTACCAGCACCCTGTGCCCAGGACCTCCCCCTCAGAGACAGGACCATTCACTACCAGGAAGGTGGCAGGGGCTCCTGGTGGTCCCCAGCAGGGCGGGGAAGGCCATGGGGACGCACTTGACATAACGGGAGCAGCTGGAGAAGAAGTCCACCAGGCAGGCGTAGAGGTATGTTTCTGGGGCAGAGACCCGAGTCAGGGGCAGCCCCCTCCTCTGAGGTCCAGGCCCCCTCCCCGCCCCATGCGGGCCCTCACCGGGCAGGTTGAAGAGCGTGTTGAGGATGTGGAACCGCTGAATGTCGTCCCTCTGGATGAACTTGCTGGGATAGAAGCTCCAGACCTCGGCCCTGGGCACGGGTGGGGTCACTGCAGCCAATGCTCATCCCCAAATCCCCTTATTCCCGACTGCACCCACCCCTCCGTCCTCCTCCATCAGACTGCCTCCCTCCATCCCCTCCTGCCTTTGGCCTCCCCAGGAAGCCCAGTACCCCTCTTCCGTTCCCGCTCTTCCCGTCCTCCCCTAGCCAGCCCTACTCAGAGAGGAAGGTGAGGCCATGCAAGCCCAGCAACACGTTCCCGTAGGCGTCCACCTTCAGCAGGTTCCCGTAGAGTGCGTCAAACACCAGGCCCCTGGGAAGAGAGAACGCGCAGCGGCTGGAGGGGACAGTGCCAAGCGGACTACGACAGCAGCCGCCTTGCTGGACGGCCCGTACCTGGACAGGCAGGACATCCCGTACCTGGTGGCAAAGGCGGGGTCGTAGGTGTAGCGCAGGATCTCGTGCGGGTACCCAACACACACCAGCCGCTCCAGCAGCAGCTCGAAGGCCAGCGTCTCGTAAGCTGGGGACTTGTAGGCTGCAGGCCCCACGGGCCAGTTGGTGCCTGGCTGCTTGGCACCCCCTGCTTCTCCCCACTCCCTTACGCTGCGCCCACCCACCCAGCCCCAGCCAGAGCCCACTGTGCGTTCCAGCCCCCTCTACCAGCCAGCGTGTAATCCATGTCAAAGCCGAAGCATCGGATCTTGCCCAGGGCCAGACTTCGGTTGACAAAAATCCTGGGCGAGAGGAGGACGTTTTGGGCTTCAGTTTACCCTGAAACCTAAACTCCAAAGAAGGATGGGGAGGGGAGGGAGTGGGCTGGAGCAGCCACAGCTTCCCCTGGATTCCAGCATGTCTGAACACAGGCGTGTGTGTCCAAGCATGCTGTGTGTGTGTATGAGAGAGAGAACGCGCCTTGCGAAGAACCTATAGCTCATGGGTTTGGGCCATGGGCATTGGTTCTTGTGGACAAGACATCTATCATTGTGGGAGGTTGTTCAGGTTCAATGACGCATCTGAAGTGATGACACACCTGCTGTTAGGGGATGTGGGTGCCCGTCCCTGGATCTTGCTGTCCCCATATCTCTGTATTTTATAGGAGTCCCCATGCACTGTGGTGTGCTGTGGGCAGCAAGCAGCCCAAAGCCCCGCCCCCACGCCCCAGTGCCCCTCTCACCGCTGGTCCCAGTCCTGCAGGAGGCCTTGGGAGGTCATCAGGCCCTCAGGGTCCCCACTAGCTTCCCACGGCTTTCCCCCTTCCATGCTGGCTGTCACCACTGAAGTGACCAAGAGGCACTGTCCCCTCCTGGCCACCTGTGCCTTATCAGTGGCGTCCAGCCACCCTGGGCCTCTGCAGCTTTGGACCCTACTGGCCCAGCTGCCCCACCCTGTGCTCCCACCGCCTCCACCAGGACAGTGTCTGCTATCTTCAACAGAGAACATCCCTGGGGCCTGGGAAGATGCCTTCATCTGCTTGTCCAGCTCCACCTCCATGTCTAGGACTTCTGTCTGAATCCAGAGGCCTCGGCAAGTCTGGGAAAGCAGCACAGAGCCCAGAATGGGGCTAACAGGTGTATCCCAGTGGCTTCGAAATTGAAAGTCCCTGGTAAAGAAAGGGAGAGCTCAGCACTTTATCCGTAACCCTAACAAACCCAGTTTTCAACTTTCCCAGCTCCAAGGGCAGGCAATGTAGCACAGCTGCTTCAGTCACCACCTGCATCCCCTGTTGGAGCCACTAGTTCAAGTCCTGCCTCCTCAGCTTCTGATGGCCCAAGAGAGGCCCTGCTGCCCACATGGGAGACCGGGATGGAATTCCTGGCGCCAGCTCTAGTCTGCCCAGCTTTAGCTGTCACAGATACTTGGGGGCATGAACGCCACACACACACACACACACACACACACACACACACACACACACACACTCCTTGATAATGCCCTGGGAAAAGTGGCAGAAGATGAGCTCCTGGCGCAGGCTCCAGCTGGTCGAGCCTAGCCCAGCCCTGGCCACTGCAGCCATCTGGGAAGTGAATCAGCAGATGTCTCTTTCTGTAGCTCTTAGTTGCAAATAAATAAATAAATCTTTCCCCCAAAAAGGAAAAAAAAAAAAAACAGAAACAGGGTGATTGGGTACATTCAGTCAGGAGTGAAAATAGCCTGTGACGGCCCACGCCACTGTTTTCGTAAGAAGACATGTGACTTCCATGCACAGCGGTGACCAGGGTCACCCAGAAAGACACAATGAGGTGGCATTTCCTCTCTTTCAAAGGAAACTTGCTCTACCCTCCATTTGAGAATATCTTCTTTCTGAAATAGCCAAATCAAATAAGGTTAGGCACTTCCAAACCCCTGAAAGTTACCTGGACAAGAAAGCAGGCGCCTTCCACATCTCCTTCTTTGACGATACTGGAAAAGCAACTGCTAGAGGGGTGAGGCAAGGGTGTGCAGAGGCTGCGGGAGGTTTGCTCTTCCTTGAGTGGAATGAGAGAGGAAGAATGGTGGGTGGATGGATGGTAGGTGGAGGGATGGACAGTTGGTTAGACACAGCAGCCTTAAGCAGCACGGTGAAGTCGAGCTTCAGGAATCAGGCCTGTTTCTGCAAACCCTTTCAGCTGTGGTTTTATGCCACCTGCTCATTTCACAGTTCCTCTTTAAATGCCTTTTCCCAGTCCCACCCTTGAGGTCAGGACGAAGGTGGAAAGAGGAAAATCTGGCTGCAGGAAGTTTCAGGTAAGTAGCTCAACGCTACCACAGGAGTCACCTGGGAAAGCCCACAAAAATGTAGCCTGCTTTCCCTGCAGCTGAGCTTAGGGTCTACCTTGAACTCCCCTCGCACCTGTGGGCAGCCCAGCCCTTCATGGAGATTGCAGAATAACCCACCACTTCCTTGGTGTCTCAGGTCACCTCTCCTGGGGCAGACTGAGATATGGGTGGTTGGTGAGAGCATCCCTGAATGGGTTCTGGTGTGACCTGCACTGGCATGGCTCCAGTGGATGGCATCTCCTCACACTGCTGTCCTCTGAGGTGGCCACATCAAGTGCCATGGTCTCGGCTGCCATCCCAGGGCACTGCAGTGCATCCAGACCACAGAGTTCTCACTCATTGCAGCTACTATGAGAGAGGATGAGGAGCTGTCACACGGTCCTCTGTGGGTTGGGGACACACTTGTGGGCTCAATGCAATTGGGCCCCCATTGGGAAGAAGAAACTGGTGATTTTTAAAAAAAAATTTGTTTTATTGGAAAGGCAGATGTACAGAGAGCAGGAGAGACAGAGAGAAAAATCTTCTGTCCGTTGATTCACTCTCCAAGTGGCTGCAACGGCCAGTGCTGCACCAATCCGAAGCCAGGAGCCAGGAACTTCTTTCTGGGTCTCCCACACGGGTGCAGGGTCCCAAGGCTTGGAGCTGTCCTAGACTGCATTCCAAGGCCACAAGCAGGGAGCTGGATGGGAAGTGGCGCTGCCAGGATTAGAACCGGTGCCCATATGGTATCCCGGGGCATTCAGGGCAAAGACCTTAACCATTCATTACACTATCATGCCTGGCCCAAAACTGGTGATTATAACATGAAGAGGGCACTTGCAATGTTTTCATCATGTGCCAGGCCAACTGGTACCGATACACGATTCAACCAACAAAAGGGATCAGCACACTGCCCAGCCTAGGAAGCTGACACATGGCAGAGCAGACCTGAACCAGGACAACCAAGTGTGGTAAAAAAGATTCATTTATTTTTATTGCAAAGTCAGATATACAGAGAGGAGGAGAGACAGAGAAGAAGATCTTCCATCCAATGATTCACTCCCCAAGTGCCCGCAACAGCCGGTGCTGCGCCAATCCAAAGCCAGGAGCCAGAAGTTCCTCTGGGTCTCCTACGCAGAGAGGGAGGGAGTACAGGGTCCCAAGGCTTTGGATCGTCCTCGACTGCTTTCCCAGGACACAAGCAGGGAGCTGGATGGGAAGTGGGGCTGCTGAGATTAGAACCGGCACCCATATGGGATCCCGGCGCGTTCAAGGTGAGAACTTGAGCCACTAGGCTACCCTGCTGGGCACCTCTCTTTTTTTTATAGCTTTTTAGAAACTTGAAATTATTGCTTTTTGGCTAAGATCAAGCGTAGAAGCTTGAAATTATTTCCAAACTACAAATAGAATTTTTAAAGAGTTCATGAGAGGCAGGTGTTTGGCCTGATGATTCAAACACCCGCGTGCCATGTCAGCGACCCTGCAGTCACAAGGCAGTTCCAGCTCCTCTCTGCAGCTTCCTGCCAGTGCAGCTCCTCGGAGGCAGCAGCGATGGCTCAAGCCATGGAGTCCCTGTCTCACTTGTAGGAGACCCAGACTGAGTTCCCAGCTACTGGCTTGGGCCAAATCAGATATTTGGAGAGTAAACGGGCATTTTCTTACATGCTCACTCTCTTTCTCCAATAAATAAAAGCATCCTTTTTTTTGAAGATTTATTTTATTTTATTTTATTTTATTGGAAAGGCAGATGAACAGAGAGGAGGAGAGACAGGGAGGAAGATCTTTTTAAAGATAAAATTGGGCCCGGCGCTTTGGCCTAGTGGCTAAAGTCCTCACCTTGAACACGCCAGAATCCCATATGCATGTCAGTTCTAGTCCTGGCAGCCCTGCTTCCCATCCAACTCCCTGTTTGTGGCCTGGGAAAGCAGTCAAGGATGATCCACAGACCTGGGACCCTATACCCACATGGGAGACCTGGAGGAAGTTCCTGGATCCTGGCTTCAGATCAGTGCAGCACCAGCCATTGTGGTCACTTGGGGAGTGAATCATTGGACGAAAGATCTTCCTCTCTGTCTCTCCTCCTCTCTGTATATCTGAGTTTTCAATAAAAATAAAATATTTTTTAAATAATAAAATAAAATATAGGGCCCAGAAAAATGGCTCAATTGGCTAATCCTCCCTCTCCAAAGGCCAGGATTACACTTAGGCACTGATTTGTGTCCCAGCTGCTTCAATTCCCATCCAGCTCCCTGCTTGTGGCCTTGAGAAAGCAGTCATGGTCAGCCCAAATCCTGGGAACCCTGCACACACTTGGGAGACCTGGAAGAGGTTCTTGGCTCCTGGCTCCTGGCTCCTGGCTCCTGGCTCCTGGCTCCTGGTTTTGGATTGGCTCAGTTCCAGCCATTGTGGTCATCTGGGGAGTGAGCAAGTGGATAAAAGATCTTTCTATCTCTCCTTCTTCCTGAGATCTGCCTTTCCAATAAAAATAAATAAATATCCATTTAAAAATAATAAAACTAAAATTAAAGATATAAAAGTAAATAGCCCAGTCCCTGCCCTGTCCTTGGTCTCTCTTTCCTTTCTCCTGCTAGTTTGGTGCTTCTCTTTGGGATGGGAGGAAAAGCAACTGGATCATCTGGCCAGTACGCCTCTGATGGTTTCATTTAAACTATCTATTCAGAGAGTGTCAAGGCCAAGTCTATGATGGCTTTGCACCATGGCTGCTGGCCATCCGAGAGGTCTGCAGATCCGGGATGCCTGAGCAATGGAGCCTAAGTGTAGGGCACAGATGTCACCCCTTAGGTGTCACTCCTCAGCTTCAGACCAGATCACTCCAGCCTCACCAACACAAGGCCCACCCCCTGGGCATGAAGAAAACTGTTCATGGCAACCAGAGCCTTTGTGCTAAACAGGGACTCCTGGCACAGGTGCAGCTGGCATGGAAGAGAGTTGAGGTAATGACCCAGGAAGTCTTTCTAAATGAGGTCTTTGAGGAAATGGAAGGGTTTTTTTTTTCTTATTAATTTAGAGGGTAAAGGTATTTCACATAGCCAGCAATGAGCCCAGAAAGAAATATGCCACAGACAACAGCAAAGAATCAAAGAATGCAACCTGCGTTGGGTCAGTGGCCTTTAGAGTCCATCCAGTGTCTTGACTTCAGCTGTCTTTTCCCCAGGGCGGCAGGCACATGGACAAAGACACTTCTGGGGTGCAAGAAAGGGACTGGGAACAGGTTTCCAGAAACCGAGCTCAACTTATGGGAAGGCTCTGGGGCTGATTCAAGGCCATAGGCACTAGGTCCCTGATGCAATTCTGTCCCATCTAGAGCAAATACTGACCATCTCCTTGGTCAGTGATGGGAGGCAGGTATGGTATGAGATTTAAGGTGTCAGATTAGGAAACAGCCAAGTCCCTCTGTTCACTTGCATCAAAGCAATGGAAGTTGCTGGCCGTCTGCAGTGCCTTTGGCACCACATGTAGGCACCAGTGTGTGAATGTTCACATGTGTATACATGGATGAGTGT